GTTAGAATAATTATTATCATTCTGCTTCCCTTGTGAGAAGATGCTCACAGGGGTTAAGTGTCTTGCTCAAGATCGCTCTGCTGGGTGGCAGCGCCTGTCTGTATGCTTGGGGCTTTTATTGCAACACAAAGCCGTGAGGCTTTGTGCTCCGTGTGCATGGTAACAGACTCTGCTGTGGCCAAGAGACAGCAGCTCTATCAGGGGGCTGTGCAGAGGGGAGTGACATGAGCTAGAAGCTAGAGGATTGTGCCGAGGGTGCAAGGGGGGGGTCGAGGGGTAATTTATACAAATGTGATGTAGCATTGATTGGGGACCTGGGTACTCATGGAACACTAAGGTGCACGTGGCTCTGACGTAGCAGGCTGGAATCACTGGAGCCATAGCACACAGGGCCATTTTGGTCATGGGGATGCTGTCCACCAGGTAGATACCATCCTATAGGTGGGTGGGAGGGGCTGGGGGGGGAGTGACATATTGATGCTTGCATTTTAGATAGACCCTCTAGCTGCGGCTGGAATGGCAAGGAAAAGGAGGCAGAGAAGGGAAGAGGTAGAGGAGTCTGTGAGGACAGACCCATGCCTGACAATAGAAAGTGCTGAGAAGCCAGAGAGAAATGGGCCTCACTTCAGGCTGGTCAGAGATGGGGGTACAGACCCCTGGTGAAAGGGGTCTTGTCCTGAGTCCTCGGCAAGCTGTGTCTGTGTCTAAGAGGAATGCTGAGTGCTGTCCTCTCTGTGTGTCCTCTCCCGCAAGCCTCCCTGGTACAGAAGGGAGCAGGTGCCCCATCTGCGTTGCTGGATGAACTACTGATAGACATTTGCCCATCTATTGTGTTCATGGGGTTCTCAGGATGCCACACCCCAAGGAGCTGGTAGAGAAGGGCAGCCTGGGATGGGATGCGAGGTTCAACGTGCACAAACCCTGCTCTGGGATTGTAGAGCTGGCCTTCAGAGGGAGAGCGACCCTGGAACTTGGGCCAGCTCCAACGTTAGCCTCCATTGATTTTCGAGGTAACTTCTGCAGTGTCCTGGCCAGAAGCTGGGGGTAAGACATTGGAAGACATTGGGCGTTCTGGGGTATCTTGAGCTGTGTTGGTTGTCACCAGTTACTGGTGGTGCTAACGGACAGAAGAAGGCTGACAGACGGAAGCTGCTGTACAAGGTCTTTTTCTTTGTTGTCATGGTTGGTTTTGTACATCTTAGCGTTTGCATCATACAAAGTGGGGAGCACAGCCATGGCTTTTGGTCAGGTTCAAGGGAGTGCAGGGGGTGGCCCTCCCCTCCCCCAGATACTGACACATTTAAAAGAAGCAGAGCAACAAGGACAGAGCACAGTTGTGGGAAAGGGGTTCCCCCACGTGAGCAGGATGGTCCATCTCCCCTGGGTCTCAGGAGGACCCACCTCCATCCTGGGGTCAGGAGGAGTACCTCTATTTTCTCCCTGGTGAAAAGGGTAGGGCTATAGGAATAGGGACGAGAGCAGGGGACATTTTCTGGGAGGCATTCCATACCCTTAGACCAGGGAGACAGCCCCCTTGGGTGCCAGTCTGATTCCCCAGGCCTCCCAGTTCAGTCACGAGCTGGCTAAACCTTAGAAAGATGGAACAAGGTGCTGTGGTGAGCACCCTTGCCAGCTGGGTGCTAGCCCTTGGGGCTGGAACTCCCATGCCATCCTTACTCTATCCTCAAGTCTTTAGGGTTGCTGGTTTGCCCACCAGCTACCCCACGTGTGTGTGTGTGTGGGGGGGGGGACTCTGGGCTGCAACACATCTGTCTCTGTACCGCTCTCTCATTTTCTCTCTCTCACGCGCCTAGGATGGCCTACAGACCTCTCGGCTCCACTGAAGGAGGTGCTCCTGAAGCTTCTCTGCCAAGACACCCCTCCAGTGCTTTGGAGCTGAAATGGAGGGCGTGCATTTTGGAAACCCCTGCATCATCACCACAGAGACCCAGGGAATGCCCTTGTTCTCTCTGATGGGGAGTCCCAGGTACAAGGGCCTGGTGGCTTTCCCCAAGGGTTCACGTGCCCACGTCAGTGGTCTACCTCATTTTATCTCCAGCCACCCACCATGCTGTGTGTGTGTTTATGTGCGTGCGTACACACGTGCGCACATGCATGCATGCATGTGTGTGCCCATGTGCATGAATTCTGGAGCCTCTTTTCAGTGTGTTACTTGCATATCACATTTCTGTATGATATACTCATCTGCTTATTCCATGGGCTGCACACACACCTCCTGCTCTAGGCACATCAGGTGAACAAACATCCCTTCCCCTGCTCACAGACCCATATTTTGTCCTCCCAAGAGGACATAGCATCCTTTAACCCATTGTTTCCTCCCCATAGTCAGGTCTGTGGCAGAGATGTCAATCGTTATATCCTCCTGGGCTTTGTGTGGGTGGAATGAGATCTATACCAAGTAGAAATTCTCTCTCTTGCCTGCACCTCCAAAAGGCCTCAAAATCTGCTGTCTGGGCATGGAAAAGAGGAGACTTAGACCTAGGCTAAGCCAGCCCAGCTTGAAGGACTGTGGGTGGAGATAGAAAGCCCTGATCCTACTCTGGGTATCCAGAGGGGCCATGGAAATCCAGAACCAGCAGAAGGGTCTGGATTCCCTCAGGCCCATGAGGGTTATCTTGCAAGGCTGGGTTCTCTTGCTTACCTGCAGGTCCCTGGGTCTTGGTCTCTACTGCCCTTCTGGTGCTCTGTGTCCTGCCATACCTTTGAGGCCCAAGAGTCTCTGTTACAGGGAAGGCCTATCCTAACCCTGGTATCCATCCCGTGTCCAGGTGGGAGTCTTACTCAGGGTTTAAGGAGGCCTGGGGCCCCCCGGACTCGCTCCTGCTGGTCTCTGACCCTGGACCCCAATGCATTTGAGAGTGACCATCCTGCCCAGGATAGAAGAGGGAAACAAGCAGACAACAGGGGTGCAAGATGGCTCCCCATCACAGACACAGACACAAACACTGGCCCTGTGGGATGACACAGGGGTACAAGGGGGTGGGGGAGAAGGGTACGTCCCAGGAGCTGGAGCTGCCGAGGCCCTGCTCCTTAGAGAGGGGACAGACCAGGGGACTTTTCTGGTTCCCTAAACATATGGATTGTTTAGTCTCCTCTTTAAAGTATTGCGGTCTAACTGATATGGCTTTAACTATTGGAAACGGACAGGAAGACACACGTCTTCTCTGAAATCAAAGCATAAGTCCACTAAAATGGAAAAACCTGCAGAATGCAAGGGGGCCAGTGGGACAGAGGCTTCGGGAGTGGGCAAGTCGCCCCCTCCTGGGGCCCCTACTTTTGGGATAGGCCCTGGTAGGGCCCAGCATGGCTTCCTGGGGCACTGCCTGGGTCTGTCTCAGTAGAATTCTGAGGACCTCAGGTAGGAAACCCCCAAGGGTTGGAGGACTCTAGGCCAAGGGGAAGGTCTCCTGTCAGATGTGGCCACCTGGACTAATGGTCTCAGGGCGAGGAGGAGGCATCTTATTCTGGTTCTTGCTAGCCAAGCACAACTTATACATACAGCTGCCTGTTTGAGACCCACACACGTGAACACCTGTCTTGGCCCATCTGACAGTTCCCTCAGACGTTTCTGCATCTAGCATGTAACTGTCACTCTTGACACACATGCCATTTTGAAAATACATGCATATACAGGCTACCACATGCAATCTTTAAACACATGAGATGGCGGGCACACACCGAGAACATGGTTGAAGCTCAGGCACGCCGCGACCCACAAACACATATACACAAGGTACATCAGAGAAACTACCTCTGACAAAGAGGCATGACGAGTAACACACATGCAGTCTCGAGACACCACACTCTAACCATACGCAGATGCAGGACGGGGCCTGCCATACTTATCTAATGTGTGTGGTGTGCGTGTGCGTGCGTGCGTGTGTGCGTGTGTGCGTGGACTCACACATTTGTCTCTCTTTTGTGCCTTCCCCTCTGTCCCTGTTCCATTTCTACACAAGTCACAAAGCAGGCAGCCTCAACAGTGTGGGGTGTGAGGACAGATGGCAGTCCTATCCATCCCAGAGGAGAGCTGATTCTTGGCTAGTGGGATGAATGGACAGTCTTTCGTCTGGTGGGAAGTGGCTTTTCCCCAGCTGCTCGGGGCTTTGACCAAGAAGGGTCCTCCTGGGGACAATGGGGACTTGGAAGCACATGGACAGGACATGGAAGGGAAGAAAGGTTGAGAGGAATGGGGGCAGTCTGGCTGTACCAATGATGGGTCCCATGGCACAGACCATCACTGCCCGATGGCTCCAAGTATTTTCTGGGGACCTGGGCAGCCCCTTGGCTGGGCAAACTGGGGCCTAGCCTGGCAGTGGGGTCCCAGGGCCTAAGTCAGATGAGGGAGAATAAGGGGTTTCCCTGCCCCAGGCTCCTCCACAGATGTGCTAAAGTCCAAAGAGGATCCATTTGGAGGGAGCAGCTTGGCAGGGGCCATACTTTTTAAAGTAGGTTGGGGAGAGGTGTGCTCCTGGGTAGATGCCACCAGGAAGAGGGAAAAGGACAGCCCGAGCCTCTTGCCCAGACTCTAACCTGGCCAGATCCAGCTCGATCCTCTCAGGGCAGGCTCACTGTGAACAGCCTTCCTCAGAGCCAGGGCCGTTCAGTGCCTCTGCCCTGACCTGGACTCCCACTGGGGATTCAGACAGAGGCCAATGGTCAGCATGCTGGGCAGGGCTGGAATGTGTCATTACTTTGGCTGGCTGGGGACAGTGGTCCTCCTGGCAGTGGGGAGCATGAAGGAATGTATGGGGGGGTCACCACACTAACATAGACCTCGGGCTTCTGGAGGGGCACCCAGTGCCTTTGGTTCTGGGTTCAATGTCCCCTGCTGGAGTAAAGCTGTCTTCCCTTTCAGGCTATTTGGGAGTGGAACAGGGCTAGAAGCCCTGGGATGAAGGGGAGAACAGAGGGGAGGCGCCCCTGGCTAGGGAAAGGGGGCAGAGGCCAACTGAGGTTTTCCCCTTTGGAACTGATACTTAACGGAATAAAAAGAAAAGACTAACAATAACAAAAAAAAGTCATAAGGTGGATGGGGCAGTAGGGATGGATTACTTCTTGAACATGTCCTGCAGTGGCCCGGGCAGGTATTTGAGCACTGTGTCCAGGATGCTCTCTTCCTCCTCCTCCTCCTCATCCCCACATCCTGCAGGGATGGCCTTCTTGGGTCGGGTCAGGCTTCCCTCGCAGGGCTGTTCCAGGGCTGCCTTCTCCTCTGCCTCCTTCTCTTCCTTCTTCTTCAGCCCGTACTGGGGAAGAGAAGGACAGAGAAAGGTGTGAAGTCAACAAGTCAGGGGAAGCAAAGGGTTGGTTTTTCTCTCAGGCAGACTTTGGGGATGGGTCTCATCAGCATTTTAAACTCCCAGGAAAGCTGCTTTCCCTGGAGCCCTGAACCAGTCCTTAGTAGGTGAATAACATAAAAGACCATGCCTCAGGCTGGGCAGTGGTGGTTCATGCCTTTAATCCCAGCATTTGGGAGGCAGAGGCAGGTGGCTCTCTGTGAGTTCAAGGCTAGCCTGGTTTGCAAAGTGATTTCCAGGATAGCTAGGACTATTATGTAGAGAAACCCAGCCTCAAATAAACAAACAAACAAACAAACAAATAATCAAAACCCTAAAACCAAAATAAAACATAAAAGACTGTACCTCGGTTTCCTGTAAAATGAACCCCTTTGTCCTTTTGAAGGCCTCTAAGTTCTGAGTTCTGAATGTCTTCCGGGGCGATTTTTGTGACACAGCTGGCTGACTGAAGGCTACTTGCAGTGTTACTTGGCAGCCTGGTGCAAATAGACTTGCACTAAATGAATGACAGCTCCCTCCCTGGAGGTCAGGGTAGCAGGGAACTTGTCTCTAATATCCACAAATTCTGAATTCCACTTCTATTTGGTTCCAGGAGCTCTGGCAGGGAGTTGGGCCTGCTGCATTGCTGCATTTCCTGTATGCTTTTATAACTCTATATGCCACTTCCTGTATGCGTATATAGTTCTATACACCACTTCCTGTATGCATATATAGTTCTATATGCCATTTCCTGTATGCGTACATAGTTCTATATGCCACTTCCTGTATGCATACATAGTTCTATATGCCACTTCCTGTATGCATACATAGTTCTATATGCCACTTCCTGTATGCATACATAGTTCTATGTGCTTCTCTTGAGGGCATGCTCCAAAGACACTCATTTTCCTGATGAGAGTGTGGCGCAGAGGGCACTAGGTCTAAGATGAGAGCTGGGACTTGGAGCGGGATGCTGACCTTGTCTCGGATCTGCTGCCGGACCTTCTCACGCTCGGCCTCCATGCGGGCGTGCTTGGCCTTGCGCTCCTCCTCCTGCTGCCGCAGGGCCTCCTGTCGCTCTTCCTCCTTCTTCTGTGCGTCAGGGTCCTTCTCCTCCTCTCCCCCCAGCATCTTCCCCATGTCCTTGGTGGCCCCTACAGGAATACGTGGTGGTCAGGGGAGGAAGAGGGTGTGGTCAGTCGGGAAGAGAAGGCAGGTTTTGAGGTTCCCTTTCTCATGGGTCAGGGGTACATGGGGGAAGGTTGTGGGGCTCACCTCCAAGGGCTTGCTTCATGACAAAGTCCATTCTGCAGGCTTTGGTTAGTGCTCCCTAGCCCGTAGCTGAATTTGCATTCAACACACCTGGCTGCTGTGCCTCCAGGAAATGAGCCCACCTGCAAGAGAGGATGGGGGGCAGGTCAGATGAAAAGCTCTCTTCCCGAGAAGGGTGGTGGAGACTGACACAGGGGGGGCCTTACTGCTGTTCTCACGGGGCACCACCAATTGAGGATACGGCGCAATGCCCTGTTAGGAAGAACGAGGAGACGGAAGGGAAGTATTTACTGAGCGTGTATCATGGACCAGGCATGGATGTACAACTAAACAGCTTCTGTTATATTCTTTAAAAAGAAGACTTATTCATTTTTCTTTCATGTGTATGAGTATTTTGCCTTCCTGTAAACATGTGACCTGTGTAAGTGATGTGGGATTCCCCTCTGTATGATTACCATTGATGAATAAAGAAAACTATCTCGGGCCTGCACAGGGAATAGAGGTAGGCAGGGAAAACTAAACTGCATGCTGGGAGAAAGAAGGAGGAGTTAGAGAGAAGCCATTGAGCCACTGCCGGAGACAGACGTGCTGAAACTTTGCTGGTAAGCCACGACCGCGTGGTGATGCACAGATTAATGGAGATGGGTTAAATTAATATGTAAGAGTTAGCCAATAAGAAGCTAGAGCTAGTGGGCCAAGTAGTGATTTAAATAATATCGTTTTTGTGTGATTATTTTGGGGCTGAGCTGCTGAGCAGCTGGGAACCAACAAGTGGCTCTCTTGCTGCATGTAAGTGCAGTGCCTGTGGAAGCCAGAAGAGGGCATCATACCTCCTGGAACTGGAGTTACAGATGGTTGTGAGCCCCCCTGTGAGTGTTGGGAATAGAACCTGGGTCCTATGTACTTCCAAAACAGTACGTACTCTTAACCTCTGAGCTATCTCTTCAGACTTGGTTCCTATTTTAAAGTCTTCAGTTTGAATATA